GGACTATCAATGATAAGTCCGTTTTTTAAAATAAGTTTGGCTGCGGGTTAACAGCGAAACATTGGTCCTAAAAACTTTGATGTTAATGACTCAGTTTCCTACTTCTTCAACTAAAATTCTGCTTTTTCATCAGTATCTACCTTGCCGTAAGTTCAGTTAGCGTAGAAATTAGAACAAACAAACAGTGTTCGACGAATGAGCGTAGAAAAATGTTTGCTAAGAGCGTCCTATTTTCCACAAACAAGGAGGTTACGCGTCATGACGAATTCAGAAAGAAAACAATTTTTAAGACGCGCTTATGCACCAAAGGAGTGTTTAGGGAACTTGATTTCTGTACATTGGTTGAACAAAAAGCCATTGCATATCCACTTTTTTGATAAAATCTCAGTAATTTCTCAAATAATTATGTGTAATATCAATGCAAACTTTTCTGTAGACCAAAAATTGTGGCTTCACTTTTAAGCAGTCAATCAATTATTTACTATTTCCAACGCATATGCGCAGATGTATTATGTTAAGATGAGACGTACAAATAGGGCTGCTAGTGATTTCAGTTTGAGTATTGAATGGATGAACTATTTTTGGAAATAATTCCCATATAACTGATCAATTTAGTGAATCACTAGCATTCTTAAACTCGGTCAAAACCTGCTACTTTTTTTGAGTTCACTACTTGCAAATTAGTCATTCCAAATATATCACTGTTAACTAAGCCCTTCAGCTACTTTATTTCCGTATACAATACAATTTTGTCACCTAAATGAATAAATAGTAAAAAGACTTTGAAAGATTTCTTACTCTTACATACAATACTGATTCACTACTTTTGCCTGCTGTTTTATCTTGCTTATTGAAAGCCTCCAGTTACACTGATAGCGTTTTAAAGTCCCTTCAAGAATCAAGCGATAAAAAAAATTATCGCAAGCAATTGTCTTGTGTCTCTTTTTGTTCAACTTTGCCGCAAATGATAACCATAATTACTTACAAAAATAGCAATATCAGTCATAAACAAGCAATTATTCTATGCTCTGCAATACCATCCATCGACTCCCATTTAGGGAAGAAATCGTTGATGTCAGTTGCCATGTGAGAGCTGTTTTATGCCCATGTTTTCGCATACCAGGTACCAGTTCTATGTAATTTCCCGATGAATCACTTTGCCCTTCGAGACTATCGAATCAGTCAGTAATTTTACTCTCTCTAACCCATGATGGATCCTTGCTGTTCTCTTTTACTTATGATTTTTAGAAGCAATCTTAGCAGCATCTGGATACTCTATTTAACATTCTGCGCCTACCCTCAATGACGAATTTCCATCTCATCATTTAGTGTTATTTGTATGTCTACAAACAACGCCGCAAATGAGTATGATCAACAATCTTGGGACACGGCTATTCAAGTCTGTCACTGACAAAGCAGGTGACCTCGGTGACAAGTTTGAGGAAGAGTTCTCGCGGCTTTCACGCA